CGCGGGGCGCGGGCGGAGGCGGTTAAGCAGCGTGTAATCGGGGCAGCGCAGGCTGCGCCCGGCTCTGGCTGTCCACGCCGCAGCATCAGATTACTCGAACTCTCTCCTGCTAGCCTTTTCTAGCAATGAAGTGGTACGTGACTTACTAGTTGAAATACTTAACGCTTTTGAATGGCCGATGGACACTTTTGTACTTAAATATAATTGCATTTTTCTTCTTTATACTTTTTGATACAGAAAAAGGGACAGAACGGTCTATTACAAAGACGATGGCTGAAACACAGATAGTCAGACTGTTGGGACAGAAACGCAAAAGAAAAGCTAGAGGTGCTTTTGTTCCAGAACTGAGCAAGGGCTTGGAACCCAAAAGGTTATTTATTTATGTATTTATTTATTTTTAAGCTGCATGAGATGACATACCAGTATAATCTTCCGTGAGTTTTGCTTTACAGATGTTCCAGGGCAGTCCCAGCTGCACTAACCCTTCTGCCGCAGTAGCTCTTTAGCAGCCTGCTGTCCCCTACTCATGGTTAGAGCTGGATTTCCCAAATACTTGGCACTATAACTGAAATTTTTAGACTAGGTAAAATTTTCGTGGTTTTTTTTCATTAAAATGGTAGCACTGCAATATCAGTACTCAGGAAAGCAACGGAAATCTGCTGAATACTAATGTTTCACTGTTAAGTACCTTCATGAGCGCCTGTTATTTGTGAAAACCCAGACACTTAGACTCCTCCGCAGGAGGATGCAGGTGCTAAACTCTTTTGGCTGCTGGGTTCTTGCTATAAACATCTATGAGTCCCGTCTCATTTACAAAATTATTTCTATTGACACCATCTCATATCTCTGTCAGATATTCACCAGCTAAATAATGGTTTAATCTTCTGAAACTTTAAAATACAAGACTAAACTTTTGAAGGATGCAAAGAAGCCAAATGTTTCCATGGGTTGCACTAGTAAAATGAAATCCCAGATTGCTATGGGGTTTCTCGGCAAAGTCTTACGGAGTTAAGCTAGACCTTTCTCATGACCTGACTAATAATCATTAAGAAGTATTTGCCTTCACATTATCATCTCATTACCTCTGAATAAAGAATTGAATCTTTGCCTTTTCTAAAAGCAGTAATTTTATGCCTTATATAGCTTAAACCCTGCCATGGGGTGAGCAACCAGTACACCATGTCACTAATTCTAGAAGAACAACGTGAACGACCGTCCTTACTTTGTGTTCACAAGCCTGTGAGCTTTGCTGTCAAGCAGCAGCTAGTGGTGGCTAGAGCAGGACAGAAGGAAGTAGGGGACTTGGGAAGGCAATGCTACGTCTGTGATAAAGAGGAGAGAGAAGCCAATTTATGGTTCTGACATTTTCACATGTTCACAGGTGAAACTTTGGTACCAAACCTGAGATCTTCAGCATCCAGGACTCTCCTTGTAGGAGCTCTGCCTCTCCCAAACCTAGCTACATGGCACACAGATCAGCCGGGGCTAAAAGTTCAAGATACCGCTGCCTAACAGGAAGGGCAAAGCCTCAGAGCACTTTCATAGCAACAAACTGCTGCTCATCCTAGCCTTCTTGGCAAAGTAAGAGCTAAATACCCTCGTTTCTTTTTCTAAAAGATTTCTTATTGGACTTCAGCCTCTGTTTATTCAGAACTGACAGCTGACCGCTTCATTAGTGTCATAGTATCAAATTGCAATATATTATAGTCCAAAACAGCAGATATGTAAGAAACGTTTGATGTTTTCTTCAGTGTGGATTCTGAACTAGAAGAAGAGAGAAACATGAAAATCTGTTAGCTGAAGGCCACTTTTAATAATGTCTTCAATGTGAGTTTTATACTTCTGGTATAACATATAAGGCCCTGGAGACTGAAGTCCTTCTGTTTATTCACAGGGTAGACACGGCATAAAAACACAGGTCCAAGTTTCCCCACTCTGCTCTCCCCCTAGGCAATAGTAGCAAGGACAACTGTGTCTCTGGATGAGAACCAAATTCTGCATCCCGTTCAAGATGCTTTCCCTTCTGCTGGGTCTTGTCTGCGTGATGAGAACTTTGCATTAGCTAAATCAAAGCTGTCATGTGCACAAAATGGTCTACGCTGGTTTTAGCTTATTTTACTAGGAAGCAGTTGAATGGAAAACAAAAAGGAACTCGGTAGCTGAAATAAAAATGGTGCTGGTGAAGAATGACTTCAGTTAAACTGGTGTGATGACCATCTCCACTAGACAAGGCTCAAGACAGTGAGAGTGGACATCCATGCTGCAGATAGCTGGCTATTAGTCAGAAAAACTTAATTAAACATCTACTCATGAGATTAGGGGGACTGAAATTTTGAAAAATATTTTTGAAGAGTGACCTTGGTGTGAATGACAAGAACCCAAATGTTGGATGTATCTTTAATGAAGTTAGAATTGGTTTTCTGCCTGGTTAATAACAATACAAAAACAAAACCTCACAGCTATGCAGACACTTCATCTGGACATCAAAGAGCACTGAAGACACCCACTTTTAGCCTAATATATGGATAAAGTGAGGCCCGGGGTATGCACATACTCACCCCAGCGTAGGCATGCAGCCCCCACACACCAGGGGGTCACCTAAAACACATGCATCTTCACATGATCTCATGCAGGGAGCGTGCCCCATCTTTTCTTTTTTAATAAAAGAGGTGTCCCCTAGGGTCCCCTGTCTTCAGTGAGAAGACAGGGAGAGAAAAGAGGAGGAAGCTCCACGAGAGCCCTGCGGAGCTGGGCAGGGCAGGGCAGGGCAGGGGGGCAGAAGAGGAGCCCCAGTGCAACTGGGGAGCAGGGGGCGTGTTTAGAAAACCCCACACGATAGCGAGATTGTCTTTGGTGACGGGGTGTTTGCTGAGCCCTCGGAGAGGACAGGGCATGCTCGGGGGGAACAGTGCAGCAGGAGGTGTGCGCCACGTGTGCCCGTCTCAGCAGCTCTGAAACTCTGGAAGTTGAGAGGGGAGAAAACGTCCCCAAAGCGTGACTCCTCTGGGAAAACGGATGGTCATGCCTTTTTATTTTGCTTCATTTCATTATTCCTCCTGAAAGGAAGAGAGTTGTTATATGAAAGGTATTTTTTATTGTGGTGCTAAAGTGGCAGTTGTTCAGGCAGGTTCACATCACAGCCTTCGAAAGGTAGCAATTTGTGCAATAGTGTTAGTCCAGCCATATAAAATAAGGCCTTCAAATAGCAGTCACTCTGAAGACGGAAAGAAAGAGACAAAGCCAAGGTACATATTACTTTAACAAATCATCTGGATTTGAAAGGCTCGATTATAAATAAGTATTTTAAATAACTCTTCTTAAAAAAAAAAAAAAAAAAAGCAAGCTCCATAACTATTTTAAAACTAGGTTAGTTTTCATCTTTTCATTTTTACTTCTTTGATTTTCTTTATGCCACTTGTCAAAGGATACTGAACACGTACTGCTCCAGGTCTTTCTTTTTTCACTGGTCTGATGTCTCTACTTGACTGATAGTAGTTACTGAAGAAGTATTATACTGTAGTTACAATCGCATCTTCATTAATTGTTTTTAAATTATCCAGTTTTTCACAGATAATGATATGTCACAACATTATTTTTTCTGCTTTGCATGCGTGAAAATAAAAGTTAAAAAACCTCTCTGTTATTTAGAGTTTAGGATCTTGCGTACAAGGACTCCTTTTACACTTCTGTAAATAACAATTTGCATGCTGGGAAATAAATAATGATTTTTTATTTTAAATTTT